GAGAGAGAGAGAGAGAGAGAGAGAGAGAGAGAGAGAGAGAGAGAGAGAGAGAGAGATGAGAGAGAAACATCGATTCGTTGCCCTACTTGCCCCTACCAGGGATTGAAACCAAAAACTAGGTATGTGGCCTGACTGGGAATCAAGCCCACAACCTTCTTGTGTATAGGACAGTGCCCAACCTACAGCCACGTAGCCAAGGCCAGAAAGTATTTTTTTAGTATGCTAATTATCATGACCAATTCATTAGACAATCTAATAAACAAACACAGGCCCTTGGTTAAGCATCTGATGGATAAAAATAATGATAACAGGTAAATCTCCTACATTCTCAAACTGTTTTGGCGTTGCAATTCAGAGAGACATATGGAGAGAAAATATTACATGAGCACAATCATTTGCATTGTTTTCCCTTCTTAATACCCTATTTATGTATGTCATAGAAGGGCTGGGGTGAAGGGAAGATGTCAGGTGTGTTTATTAACAACTGAGAAGACTGCACAGCACAGACCTCAGTGTGAATGAGCACTTCATCAATATCTTCAGATCTCCAGTGAGCAGCAAGAATGCTCTCAGGATATTGCAACTCTGCCTGCTTCCACCAGAGATCATAATTGGGCTATGAATTTCTATAGCAGGAAAGTCTCTCATAGACAGATACTGACAAAAAGTTTAGTTAAATTAATGCCAAAACAATCAGAACAGTATGAGTAGTATAAAAGGATGTCACTTACATATGTAGTTCTTTTACTTTCTTTAAAATAAATTTTAATATAGTTTACTGGTTAGATCTTCTGAAATATAGCTTGTTTCTGAAGATTCCTCAGCATAGTGGTTTTCTGCTCAGTGACATGATATACACTTGGGGGGATTCAAGAAGCCGATTGAGGTGAGTTGAGGTGATTTATAAATCGAAAGCAAATGATAGCAGAAGAATGTGAAGTGAAGCTATTTCTTGATCTACGCAAAGCTAATTGGGCACATTTCAGGCCAGGTCTCTAAAGGCACAGCTCATGAACTTTGTCTTCGAAACGCTGTGCTCATTACAGACACTCAATAGAGGACTGGCTGATGCCCGGGAAAGCCCCATCAGGTGGCCTTTACATGACACCTCAGGCTTATCTCAGGAAGCAGAGGAAAGAGAGGGGAAAAAAAAAGAGAGAGAGATTCCAGGCAACTTGCTGCTTACTGAGACCTACCTAATTTATCTGGTACTGAAGAGTTTGTCTCTGAAGGATGTCCGGCTTCACAAAAATCTCACGAGACTCTGTCCTTCTCAAACATAGCAGAGTTTTGCCAGGCCCTATTTGTTATTGATTGTTGTTGAAATAAACCTGGGTTCTGGGTCCAGTTTTCGACATGGAGTACTAAACGAGCACACGTGACCTAAACATTGTGGAGCAACCCATATTTGCTTAAATATTGTAATGATACTTCCACATGGATTAAATTGTTATCCAAATCCTATAAACTGTCCTCAATTATTCATATTAATAAGTTCAGGGAAAAGGAAATGTACGGCGTTGGCATCTCATTTTTAGAGTCAAGTATGCAGGAAAGGAAGACATTATATATGTTCACAATGTTGCAAGTGATGGTTTTTTAGTGATTTTAGAAACACAGGTCAACATACTAAGGAAGCAAATCGTGGGTCGTGTGTACGTGGGCACTTGAAACTAGGATTTGAAACAATAAAATTTTTCAGAAGGTAGTGTTGGAGTCAATACAATGCTCATGTATTGCAAGCACGGTTTGGACCAGTGATGGCGAACCTATGACACGCGTGTCAGAGGTGACACGCAAACTCATTTTTTTGGTTGATTTTTCTTTGTTACATGGCATTTAAATATATAAAATAAATATCAAAAATATAAGTCTTTGTTTTACTATGGTTGCAAATATCAAAAAATTTCTATATGTGACACGGCACCAGGGTTAAGTTAGGGTTTTTCAAAATGCTGACATGCCGAGCTCAAAAGGTTCGCCATCACTGGTTTAGACATTTATAACCCAAATGGACAATCTCTCTGGGTCTTCTGCAATTATAAGAGTCTGATTCCATTCCAAAAAATTTAGGAAAAATTCCTTTATCTATAATAATAAAAGCATAATATGCTAATTAGACCAGACAACCTTCAGGATGACCTTCCGGATGAAGCTGGGGCTGTGAGGGAAACCTGGGTTCTGGGTGCCAGAGGGAAGCTGGTGCTGGCAGCCAGGGGAAGGAAGGCCTACTTTGGCATGAATTTCATGCATCGGGCCTCTAGTCATTATATAAGTGTTACAAATTGTATGGTTGTCCATGAGTTAGCTCATTAAAGACAATATATAAGTACTCAAAATATTCTGTAAATCTCTACAACATTCTCCTTTAGTGGGTCTTTAAATTTCAAAAATGATACTCTGCAAATAAATTTTTCATTTTTTGAATTTAAAAAAATTATCAGGACAAGAATTGTGACTATACACTCATGTGTCACTAGAGAGCATGAGAAATTTGATGGATATCAAGGATCCTTTGTGAAGTAATTAACTTATCTGATGATTTTATTTTGTATTTTTCTAAGCAGTTAATTGATTCTCCTCCCCCTAAATGTTAAACATATATCAATAATTTAACACTCAGATGATAGTTTTTGCTTCATATAATCAATATATAATCATAGATATTTAGAGAAAGAAGGGTTCTTACTAGTCACCAAGTCTAAAGTCTTATATTTTATGAGGTAAGGAAGCAGAGGTTGAATATAAGTGACTTCACTCTGGTCCATACCTCATGCCTTGAGGAGATGTGAGAGAGAAACACCGATTGGTTGCCCCACTTGCCCCTACCAGGGATTGAAACCAAAAACTAGGTACGTGGCCTGACTGGGAATCAAACCCACAACCTTCTTGTGTATAGGACAATGCCCAACCTACAGCCACGTAGCCAAGGCCAGTGTAAAAATACATTATTACTGACAATTTTTTTTAAAACTAAAGAACATTTATTTGTTTTTCACTAAGACTTTATCTTAGCACATAATTAAACTGTCACTACCCCCCACCCCAACTTGAAGAAGGGTTAGTACAGTGAATGTTATAAAGCAGATATGAAGGATTGGAATCAACATTAACTGAAAAAGAAAAACTTCTTAGTTAAGTCATCATAACAATGTTTAAGTAAAACAAGAGAAAAAAGGGGGGTGATGGGAGTTCAGATTGAACAAGATCCTCACATATCATCTAACACATTCAATCCTGGCTAGAGTGTACCAAAATGGAAACAGGATTACTATAATACAAAACTTTACTACAGACAGCTGTACACACCTGTGTTCCAAGCCCACCCCCAACCCGCAAATGCTTCCAACACAACTATTTCTTGGCCTGTTGGGCCTGTCGACGAAGGAGCACGTAGATCTTCTCTTTAATCCAATCTTTGTTATAAGGCTGGTATGTCTGGGTATCAGCTCAGTAAACAAGACAGCTGAGGTCCGCCAGATCATCAATAAAATCAAACAACTGGCTGATATCATATGTGATAGAGGTCCTCTGAGCTACACTGCAGTAGGCTTATATACACTTGAGTAGTTTTAAGTCTTTGTAGATGTTTCATTTTAAATTGATGTTTCAGAGTTTTAAATGATAACCTATAATCAGAAACCATACAAAACTTAGCTGCAAACATTCTCTCAAAATTTATGGTATTCCTTTACTTTTTTCTTAAACATTAGAACTCTTTCTTCAATAAGAAATGAAATAGAAAATCCTACATTATAATTGAATTATATTTAAAAAAACATTTAAGTTAGAAAATACCAGTTTACATGTGATTAAGTTTTAAACAGGATGAGGGTAATTCCCTCTTGTCTATAACTTGTCCTGTGTCAACAGAAATCTTTGAACATAAAGTGGATTCCTTCAAGTCAAGTCAATTGTCCAAAGTGGAAACACATTCAAGGGATGAATACACTCAAATAATGAACAGAAGAGTGAAATATAAGGACAGAAAAGTTACACGTGAGGGAAAACCTGAATTGTCAGATTTGTTGGATCAACTGTCCAATAGCTGCTTTACCAGTGTTTCATTTTAAAACTTTGTCTTGTACTTTTTCAATAAGCAAAGTTACTTTTATCACAAAGTTACATCTGTTGAAAGAGACCAACACACTATTAGAGGTCACTTCTAATATCCACTTGACTGCCTCATTGATTACCTAATTTTGAAAAGCAAGCTCTCTTTTTATCCAAATCCCATCTTTCTAAAGTGAAACTCATGTCCTAGAGCAGCGGTTCTCAACCTGTGGGTCGCGACCCTTTTGTAGTCGAACGACCTTTTCACAGGGGTCGCCTAAGACCATCCTGCATATCAGATATTTACATTATGATTCATAACAGTAGCAACATTACAGTTATGAAGTAGCAACGAAAATAATTTTATGGTTGGGTCACAACATGAGGAACTGTATTTAAAGGGCCAGAAGGTTGAGAACCACTGCTGGGTTTGGCTCCTCAGATGGAAATGGTCTCAGGTTCCATTCTGATCAAGGGCACATATCCTATGTTTTTCTCTCTGTCTCTGCTCCTCCCTTCCACTCTCTAAAAATCAATGGGAAAAATATCCTCCGGTGAGGATTTAAAAAAAGGAAAAAAGAAAAGATAAACTCATTATATTTTTATTTTCTAATTTAATCCAATCTGATGAAGAGATCGATTTCTTTAAAAATATGTATTTTAAAGCAACTATTGTTATGATTAACATTTAGGACAAGTATGGCAATGCAAGTTTGAGAAATTAATGAGTCAGGAGCACAACAGCCACTGGGTGGGGAAGTGGCTATTCAGACAAGGAGGGAGCTAGTCCTTGGCCAATAAAACATCTCAAGGCTACTCCCCTCCCCTTGCCCATCCATATTCTCTGTGCCTTCTGCTGCAACCTGTGCACAACTCATGTGCGGACTCCAGTAGGGTCTGGATATTGAACTCTCTCCTGCAATTTCTCTCCTGAGCAGTCGCCAACAACCTGTACCTAAGGCACGGGGACTTCTTCCTTACCCATCTACTTTGGGCAGGTCCTTTCTAGCACCCAGGAAAAGCCAGGGAAAGGAATTGCTAGCTCATCTGGATGAAAGTGGTGAACTGTATCTGTGATACCCACAGGAATTCAAGTTCCAAAGAGTTCCATGGACTCATTGATTAGCATCCCTGTGCCAGGCTCCCAGGACCTGCATTATAATAGACTCCGTACAGGCAGGGAATTTGGTGAATTTGGCCAGGCTTTAGTCTCTCTTCCTTGCAATCCCTCCAAGCCTTACAGTGTGCTTGGCACATGATAAGTGCTCAATAAACAAACTTTGAAGGAGAGAGAGTTGTATTGAGTGAAGAGAAGACTGGAAAGGGACTTAAAATGTGAAGGTTTTCCTACGTGTCCAGAAAAAAGAAAAGGAAAAAAAACTGAGTTCTTGAATAGCATCCTTACTAATTAATGTTTTAAATCAAAACCTCTTCCGATCTCCACTGGCATCAGCCAGGCAGGCAGCAGGGAACGCAGGCTGGAGGCTGTCCACTGCCCCAAATCAGGAGGTGCAGGGCCCGTGGTCATAATTAGGAACAACCTCTGGGTGCTGGTGGCTTCCGTGGGGCTCTGCGCCCCCGACTCCCCACCGCCCCTGTCCTCTTGGAGCGATGGAGCATGCCCAGTGGCCGCGCTGGAGCCATCGAGGGCTTTGCCCGGGCGCACGCCGCTTCTCCGGGTTTTAGCTGGAGCCTTGGGGAGGCGGGCGGTGAGGGGGCCAGCGGAGCCCCGCAGCCTTGGCCGCGCGCGCCGGTGGGGAGCTCGCGCGCTGCTCCGGGCTCGGTCCCGCCCGGCTGTGGCTCGGCGGATGCGGGAGCGCGGCGCCCGGCTGCTCCACCTGGCGCCCCGAGCCGCGCGGGAGCCCCGGGGCCGCGAGGGGCGCAGGAGGCAGTAACATGCCCGCCGGGTGCCTTCGGCGCTGCGGGAGGTGCCGCTCGCCGCGCCACTAACTTGCTACTTGGTGTGGTCGGTCTGGTCGCCGAGGCTCTGGACGCTCTGGGGTGTAGGGGCGGGGGGAGTGGGGAGTTGGAGGGTCTGCGGTAGCCGAAGGAGGGATCCGGCTAGGGAGAGCCTCCCTGGTGCCGCTCCCCTTCTCCTCCCTGCGCTCCCCTCCCCCCGCCGCGTCTCTGCCTCTTTCCCTTCCGCCCATTCGGAGAGCGCTGGGCGCCTGGGACTTGCGATCGCTGCCAAGTGATGGTCCCCGAGTCTGAAGTGCCCGCGAGGAAGTGAGCGCCAACGCGGCCGCGGGCGATGACAGCCATGAAGAAAGAGCAGCAGCCCACCCCGGGGGCCAGGGCGAGCCAGGCGCCGCCGGCGGACCAGGTGAGTGGGCAGCTGCGGGCAGGCCCTCCTGGGCAGGGAGGCTCCAGCCCGCGCGCCTCCAGCCCCTCCTCCGCCGCTCGGCTCCCACGCCTCCCTCTCCCCACGCTCCCCCGCCCCAGTCCCCGGGTCCCTCTGCTCCTCCATGGACTCCGCAGGAAGTTAGAGCCTCCGAGTGCGCTCGGGCCGGGCGAGAGGATGCGCAAGGTGGAGAGCCGCGGGGAAGGGGCCAGAGAGGTAAAGGCTGGGGATGGCCCGGGGGCTCCGGGGGGCCGGCCACCGAGGGCGGGAGAGGCGGCCGGGGCTCAGGAATGGGGGCCTCTTGGCTCCTGGTAATGCATGCGGGAGGGATCGGTGCGCTCCTGGGGGTGCCCACTTGCAGGGTTGGAGCCTGCCGAGCCGAGAGGAGCGCTGGCCAGAGCTACGGGAGGAGGCCAGTGACCTTTAGGCAGGCAGAGTTTTTCCTTTCGTCTCTTTCTTTCTTTTGAGTAGACCGGGACGGGGGCGCAGTGGGGGGAGAGGGGAGACCAGGTGTGTGTGTGGCTGTGGAGAGGAGCGAGCTTGGGAGCAAAACGACAAATATTGTGGGGAGCTGGGAAGCTATTGGCTTTCGTGATTTGTTGGGTCCAGCTATGTTGTGTTTACAGAGAGGTGGTGCCCAGTGCTGGCTGAGGGTTAATTCTGTCCCCTCAACATCTTTCCACACCGACCACCCCTTGTGTTGTTTCTGTCTTTAGGAAGCTGTAGCGTCACCCTAAGGTGGATCTCCATTGCGTCTCTGGCCCTGGGTTGGGTGACTGGGGAGTTGTCGCTTTCCCCGAAGTTGTAGGGCCTGGAGCGCTAAGGTGCCCCTGTCAGGAGGAGGGAGGCTGCGGTGCCGGTGCCTTGGCTCCAGGTGCTGTCGCGCTTACATCAGTTAGAGACTGGGAGCGGAGAGGCTGCCCTGAGTTACTTCTGGGGTGGCCAGGAGGCTGGAGCGCAGCGGCGCTGGGGTACCAGAGAAGGGCCCTTGGTCGCCAGTGCACTGTTGAAGGCTACCGGATGCGTTTCTGGCAGAGACATTCCCAGCTAACTGCTAGAAGTGGGGTGAAGGGGGTGCAAGCCCCTGGGTGCCAGTACAGGCTCTCCTTTTGGCATGTTCTAAACACTGAGGGGAGCTGTTTAAATGGCCAGGAGTGGCCTGGGGGCAGATGAGGCCATTAGGTCGGGCTTGTGGTCTCTCTCTTCTCCCCATCCCTCCCTCCCGCACTCATTCCCCTCTCTCCACACAGGTGATGAGTTTTACTCAGTGCTTTAAAGCACCGCCCCCCCCCCCCTCAGTTTCCTGGGGTGAATGTTGCAGTCTTTACAAAGCAGTTGTTTTCTTAAACCATCCTCTGTGCTCCCTTTTCTGAGATAAGAATGAAAGTATTAAAACACTTATATGCCTTTTCCCCTTATATCACATTTCCCAGCTCCCTCCAGCACACACTAGGAGGTAGCAACTGGTTAACAGATTATAAAAAATATTTCAGGAGAAGAGCGAGGATTTAACATCCTCTTTCAGGCTGACAGCCCCTAAATTTCATTAACACGCCACGGAGCCTCTCTATTGCTTTTGGAATGATGCTACCAGTAAGAACGGTTAGTCAGGTGAGAGTCCCCACATGAAATCTTTGCTCACTAACCTGTGACACCAGCTGGTTACTCGAGGTGCTGCACAGGGTTCCGTGGCGGTGGAGGTGGGGAGGCAGAAGCTGAGCAGTGCACAGGGAATGTGTACACAGTGGGCAGGCTGTGTGTGCGGAGCAGAGCCTCCGCTCAGGGCTAATCTGCTCCTTCGAATTCATATGAAGAGATACAGTCGAGCTTGAATCCATTTTTCTTGTTAGCATGCATTTTTGTCCATGGCCTTCCCAAATATTCAGGGAGTGGCCACTTGCAGAACTCCTGTTTTAATTGAGTTTTTAAAGTGCCTTTCTGAGTATTTACCTGATTTTAAAATGTCAGTGGTAGGTATATTATGGTTGAGTTAAAATGAGAGAGACTAATTTTGCAAGGCGAAGGAAAGTCTGATTAAAATATACCTGGCAATATTGGGTGGTTTCAAGGACTCCCAGAAAATACCTATATCTAGTATATTCTTTGTCTAAAGCTTGACATATAGAGTGATGGCCAGATAATATGAACAATGGCTGTGAATGCTTAAACTACTTGCTGTAAGACTACTACGCTTTTATTAACAGCATTAGTCATTGTGGTCTAATTTTGCAATTGTCACACAACTCCCATGTGGGACTTGATATAATACCTCCATATAGACATGACTGATTATGCAGGCTTCTCTGATATTTCTGGAAAAAAATTATTCATAAAATTTAAAGAACTGTAGCGTTATGAATTCCTACTTGATGGTTAAATAGGGGGCGTGTTCCAGCTAATCGCAGGCTGTGTATTGATTGTGAGTGATTCAAGCTTTTGAAGGCTGCCAGGAAGGTTTTCATTTTATGAAACCTCAAAAGCGCCTTGTCCTGAAGCCATTAGACACCTCTTTCCACTTACAGCGCAATAGAAGACCGTACTCTTTCCTCTGCGCGAAATGGTTATGACCATATAATTTGGTTGTTGTTATGGTCCTTGAGAGCTCTGCCTCCCTGTTTCATCCTGTTACTGTTCTCTGGCACGGGATGCCCTGGGCACAGGCACCTCTTTCCTGGGGAGCAGCAGCAACAAGAGAAGCAGGGCTCTCTACTTCTGTTCCTATTCGGAATCTAGGAAATCTTTTGTGTCCTCTTAGTGGTATTTCCTTTCAAGTTGCATTGATTAAAGAAATGTTTACAATTACTTTTGTTGTTTTCATAACACTCCACATTTATAAAATGTCTAAAAAGAAATGCTTTGACATGTTTAGATACACTAATTTCCACTGAACTTGATCAATATCCATTGAGGAGTTCAAAGTCTTGAGTTGATAGTTGTAACTTCTTATTTTTTTTAAAATCACTTTTAAAATGCTTGCCGTGAGCAGAGTACTGTCCTGCAGGCTGGCAAGGTAACATTTGCTGAATGCAGTTTCCAACTTGATCCTCAAAGGAACTTTTTGAAGTAGCTTCTATTGTTAATCCCATGTGAGGAATGAGAATAGAGGACTAAAGAAACTAAGCATCTTGATCAAGCTTGTCGTCATAAGTGGTGGAGATGAGACTTAGTCCTCGTCTATGATATTTAAGATAACGTAAGTTAGAAAATAAATTTATTTAAGTCGGATGCCATACCATCTAAGTTTTATACAACCACAGTTTAACACCTTTAAGAACGTAAAATAATTGCAAATACTAGTAGCATTTGTGTGTACAGCTTTGCCTTGAATGTAAAATGGATGAATAATTTGTTTTAAATCTTCAACAAATAAAAATAGCTCTCAAGTTTTTAAAGTTAACATTTCTCTTTTTATAGCAATAATATAAAAAGAGCAAGGCAGGTCTTGGTAAGTGCATAGAAACGTGTTTTTTATAAATTTCTTTGCATCATTTGCTCTCGGTAACTCAGACTTTTTAGGTTTGTTGAATGAGTAAAATTTGTACTCAGCTCTATTTTAGAATTTGCCCATGTTTCCAGCAGGTGGCACCCTTCTGCTGAATCCAGTGGGTAAAAATGTTTCCTAAAATGTTTGTCCTTTCCTCTCCAAAAAGCCAAGCCAAACCAAACCAAAACAAAACCAGACATAAAACAAAAATAAATTAATAGACAAATAAAGAAAAACCACAACCCCACTTTGGCAATATGACTAAAAAAGTGTATTTTTATAAGCAACTATTTATGCTGCGAAAACAGTGTTAATTATGCATTTTTCTTTAAATAACTAGTTCGGATAGAAAACCAGTCTCCTACAATTGAACATGTAGCAGCTCTTGATGATGTAATTCATAGATGAAATTGTAACTAAATATATAATGTATAAAATGCTTTTGTAAACTATGTATTGTACTTTGACCTTTAGGTAATATTAACCTAAAATGTTTCCATATAGAAATTAGGATTACGTACTTGTACTTTACTTTTGGTCTAGCAAATCTGACTAACATTTCAAATGTATACTGAATGCAAACTTACAAAAAATATATTCTTCCATCTTTCCTTGATTAATATATAAATATGGCATAGTTTAGTCTATATTACAAACTGTTGTTTTCAACACACAGAACCTCAAAATAGCTTTTAGAGATCATGCTGAAAATTGCAAATACTAGTAGCATTTGTGTGTACAAATGGACCCCAGGGTGGCTGTGCCTACTCTCATTGGAGTGGAAATGAGTTATCTAGTGTTGGGCTCAGCATAATTCAGTGTAACACAAGATTTATTATTTCTAAGCATTCAACTAACTTTGGGAGAGTTCTATCTGAATAGGTTATAAAAGAAAATATAGATTGCATGTAGGTGATAGGTAGAAGTCTTTATGAATTAAGAGATATGCATTCTCTAAAATCCCTTAATTTAATTATTATGTGTGTGTGTACATATATGTGACATATACATTCATATATATGACATTTAATCCACTATGTTTAGAACATACCACATAACATCCCTAGTTTATACGTTTCTAATCTTCATCTGTTAATTTCAGTAAGCAAATTACACACTTAAGAAAAGATTAAATTATATAAAGACAAGTTAAAGAAAATTGTATCATTAAATATTAATGCTGAATTATCTTATGAAGTGCATTACATTGGAAACAGAACACTGAAACCAAATTTCTCCCAGTCTGAGAAAAAATAAACCAATTTCAAAAATTTGGTTTCTTGAATCATTTATAGTTACATAATGTTTTAAGCCTTAGTACTTACAGGCAAATTGTTACTTACGTACAGTGTACCGTGTAGCACACACAGCACTAGAATGTTGTAACTAGGACTCTGAACTTTTGTGCCATCACCCAGAAATTATTGTTCACTACTGTCTATGGGTTCTGCACTGGAAGCACAGATTCCAGATTATACCTCAGATCCACCAGTCAGCA